TGCTGTGAACGCGTCCAATCAGAGCAGCGCGTCGATGAGCGGCAGCAGCACGGTGAGATTGAACGAAATTCTGATTATTTCATAAACTTTTAAAACGAGATTAATAAAACGCTCAGCTGTGTTTCAGAGAGTTTTACTCGGATATCACAGCGCAAGCTTCAGCTCTGAATAAAACACGGCAGTCTGAGGCTTTAGCAGCCGCGCGCGTTATTCAGACTCACTCTGACGCTAAAGTAAATATTAACGTTATATTCCTCTGAAGTCCGGCCGAGTCCGGGTCCGGTCTGTTTGAGTCCGAGTCCGGTCAGCGAGACTGTGTTTGAGTCCGGGTTTGGTCAGCAGGACTGTGTTTGAGTCCGGGTTTGGTCAGCAGGACTGTGTTTGAGTCCGAGTCCGGTCAGCGAGACTGTGTTTGAGTCCGAGTCCGGTCAGCAGGACTGTGTTTGAGTCCGGGTTTGGTCAGCAGGACTGTGTTTGAGTCCCCAAAATCAGACTTTAGCACCTCTTTTTACTTTCAGATCGCTCTGAGGTTAAAGACAGATTTAAAACCATAACAAGAAATAGTTTAATAGCTGATGATGTTTGCACAGTTATGACAAACACTGGCATCTAACACATGCCTGGAGAAAACTGTTCATCTTAAAAAATAAAGCATATACATAAAACCAAATAGGAAATAAAACAGTTATAGATAAATGTGTCCTAAACTCCTGAAACACTGCTGCCTCATATTTTAGAGCAGTCAAAATATTTTATGAAAGAAAGCAATTAAATCTGTGTGTGTGTGTCTCTGTGTGTCTGTCTGTCTGTGTGTGTGTGTGTGTGTGTCTCTCTGTGTGTGTGTGTCTGTGTGTGTGTGTGTGTGTGTGTGTGTGTGTGTGTGTGCTCTCAGATGACCGGAGCCAATGAGTTCAAGCTGACCCAGGGTCCGGAGGATAGCGTCTCGGCTGTGAAGTTCAGCCCGAGCTCAGCTCAGTTCCTGCTGGTGTCGTCGTGGGACTGTACGGTCCGTCTGTTCGACGTCAGCACTAACAGCATGAGGATGAAGTACCAGCATCTGGCGGCGGTGCTGGACTGTGCTTTCTATGTGAGGGGCATCACAGAAACCCTGCAGAACCACGCAGTCGCTCGCTCCCGTGTTTGATCTCTGTGTCTCGTGTCGTTTCAGGATCCGACTCACGCGTGGAGCGGCGGTCTGGACAGCCAGCTGAAGACGCACGATCTCAACACGGATCAGGGTGAGTTTAAAGGGGTCATCGGATGCCCGTTTTCCACAAGTTGATATGATTCTTCAGGGCCTTCATGAAAAGTCTGTAATATACTTTGGTGAACATTTCTCAATGGTAGTGTAAAACGACCCTGTCAAAAAAAGCTCTGTTCACAGCGAGCCGTTTTGGTGCATGTCCCTTTAAATGCTAATGAGCTCTGCTGACTCCGCCCCTCTCGTCCGAGCCTTTCTCTGAGAGACTGTTAACTTTAGCCGCGGGAACTTACTAATTAGCACATTATTAGGAAAGGCAATTTGCAAAGATTCATTAAAAAAACTTACACTCACATCTTCTGTAGATGAAGCTGGATCACGAATGATTCGTGCGAACAAATGCATTTATGTAGATCGGGGCGTATTCCCTTCAGAAACGAACATAATCCACTGTGTCTTCAGCGGCTCAGATGTCAGGAGTAAACGATGACTGCTGTTCATTATTACATCCAACAACAGAACACCTCAATCACTCAGGAGTCATTCTTGTCTACATCTGCTCCGGCGGTGAAACAATGGAGGACTGTCTGCTAGGGATGTGCAACAGTGATCAAGTACTCGAGTACTCGGCCTCAGGAATGCTCTGCTGTATTTGACTGTACAGTGAGGCTCTTAAG